AGGCGTCTGGCCATGCGTTTCGCTATTACAATTATTGGACTATTTCTATTATTTTTGTTATTACATTTCGGTCCAGAATTGTTGAATTGATTGCTGGACTATCTTTAGCCGCAACAGGGCGCAAGACCAGTTTTCTTTCCACCATAACGAGGCAGCTCGACCCGAAACAATGCGGGCGACTGTAAGAGGATCAAAACACGGGGAGAGGTCGACAAGAGGCGGAGGACGCGAGTGAGGGCATCTCACCGTCTATCTGAGCGCATGCCCCATCATGTGGTCCGGTGATGTATGTGCAGGACATCCATGGATGTCGAGGAATTCCGCAGACGGGAAAAACAGCTCAAAATCCATTGAAAGGGCGGGCCAGCTTCGGGGGAATTTCAATGTTTGCTCCAGGCTTCTGTCCCGGCCGAATGATCATATTTATAATATCAACCCGCCGCACGCAGGTTCATGGCTCGCACTCGCTGGAGGGGCAGATTACGGTCAGCACGAATTAGTAACTCTTAACAGCCAGTGGGTGTGTTTGATCAGCCCGCTCACTGGCCAATAAAGCCAATACGGCCCTAAACAGATCGGAATCAAGGCGCAGTGTCGACCTGAAAATGGGGCCCTCAAGACTGGGTTGACCAACGCCAGCCTGGTGGCCCCCAAGCCCCCGAGAACTAAGGGCGGGCATGACGAGGGAATAATCATAATACTAATGCGAATGCGAATGCTAGACTGGCCCCAGAATAACCGGCAAATGAAAATAAAATAAAACTGAAAAAATACCTTCCATACACAGAAGTGGTCGATTTCCGCCTCAACTCTATATAAAGCCGTAGCCCCTTCCTCTCGGCTTTGCTAGCATTGCTGCTCTTCTTTGCTCCTGACATAGGTCTTTTCTTCTGCGCCGCCTCTCTTCCTTTCTAGCTTTGCCTACTACATACTTTCCTTTGATCCTTCTCCGTCTTCGCATCTCTTCTATACTTATCTACTTTCCTCTGTCCTTCGCCACTCCGTTACCCTCCATTCTCGCCCTAGTTGGCCCAATAGATAAATTCTTTTGCTTCAACAAACCCCAATCTAATTCGCCCATCTTCGACTCCGAAAAAGTTACCTCTTATCGCCTCTTTGGGTTGGCCTTCTATCTTAGTATTGTCACTTGTAAT